CCTAAATCAACGCTTTGACACTGGCGACCATGCAGGGACTACAGGGTACTCAACCAGGTAACGATTCCAGACAGATACCCGGTACTGCACATACACATGTCAAGACAAGGTTTTACAATGCCATTATCTTCTCAAAGATTGACCTATTGTGGACATATCATCAGATTCCTGTTGCCCTGGAGGACGCCTTGAGCGCCATCGCAACGCCTTTCGGACTTTCGAATTTCTCCGAATGCCATTCATATTCTGAAACGTGGGTCAGACATTCCAGTTGTTCATGGTCAAGGCCGTACGCGGCCTCAACTTCTGCCTCGGCCATATTGACGACTTGCTAGTCGCCAGCAGCACTCTGGAAGAACACGTGAATTATCTGCGCATCGTTTTCCAGCGCTTAGTGGAGCATGGCTTAGTCGTGAACATGGTATGCGACAGCTCTCGTTTCTTGGACATGTCATCTCCACCTCAGGAGTTCGTCCTCAAGCCAACAAGGTGGAAGCAGTGCAAGGATTCCTGCAGCTGACCGCCAAGCGCCAGCTTCGGGAATTTCTGGGTTTGATAAACTTCTACCGCTGTTTCATTCCCCGCTGTGCCGAGATTCTTAAGTCTCCACGACCTGCTGGCCACTTCATGAAATGGCTCAGACACCCTTTTCATGTCTCGAGAAGCAAAAGAAGCCTTCTGCGAGGTCAAGGGCGCCTTATAAAACGCACTGCTTGAATACCTCAGGTCTGGTGTCCCACAGAGTGTAATGGTGGATTCGTCCGATACAGTCGTTGGGGCTGTATTACAACTGCTTGTTGAGGGAATCTGGCGCCTGATTTTCTTCTTTACGAGGAAGCGAACGCCTACCGAGCGCCACTACAGCACTTTCAGTAGAGAATTTCTGGCTGTGTATGTTGCCATACAACATTTTTGCCATTTCCTGGAAGGTGTAGAGTTTTTCTTTCTAACCGACCACAAGTTGCATACTTATGCTTTGCACGCTCTAAGCTCCGACAATAGAACGCACACAACTTGTCAACGGCGCCAAATGTCTTATATATCAGTTTACGACTGATGTCCGCCACGTCAAAAGCTGTGACTACGCGATAGCGGACGCCCTCTCACAGAATCCTGTGAACGCCGTCATGCCCACACTACAGGTCGATTTCCCCACTTTGGCAGCTGCTCAACCTGAAAATGGCGAACTGAAACACCTGTTGACAACAACTACTGCCCTGTGTCCTGAGTAAATCCCAGTTCCCGTATGCGAGGAGAGGGTTTGCTGCGACACAAGCATCAGGAAAACTCGCCCGTTCGTGCCCGCGAGCCTCCTTCGCCAGGTATTCGAGTCCTTGCACAGACGATCTCATCCGGTCATTAGAGGCACCCAAAAACTAGTGACCGCAAGACATTTCTGGCCGGGTGTAGATTGAGACGTCCAACACTGGGCACTTGAATGTGTAGCTTGCCATTTCTCTAAGATACAATGCCATACCTCAACAGCACTGGGAACACTCCGCCCTCCAGATTCTCGCTTTGATCATGTCCACCTGGACATCGTCGGCCCACTGCCACTCTGCGACAGAAAGGCTGACATGCTGACCTGTGTCGACAGGTTAACCCGCTGGGCGGAGGCCATTTCTATCGCAGGCATCACTGCTGAGGTGGTTGCAAGTGCTTTCCTGTACCACCGGGTAGCCCGTTTCAAGGTGCCCTCCGCGATAACAACAGACTGCGGCCGACAATTCGAATCTGCCCTTTTCACCACAATCGGTCGGCTCATGGGCACCTCACGCATACGCATGATGGCGTATCACCCCATGAGCAACAGCATGGTGGAGTGCGTTCTTGCCAGCTGGAGGCTGCGCTCACGGCAACCAAAGAACACAACTGAGTGGAGGCCCTTCCGCTTGTTTTGTTGAATATAAGGTCCGCCTTGAAAGAGAACATTGGCTGTAGCGCCTTTGACCTGGTCTACGGCACGACACTCAGGCTGCCGGGAGAGCTCTTTTTGCGCGGCTCAGAGGAGGCCTTCATAGCTTGCAGCGACTATGCACTTACCTACGTAACGTCATGAGCAAACTGCGCGTAGTACCTTCACGGTCCCCACAGTCGCGTGTGGTGTACGTCGACCCACAGATCACATCGTGCCCGTATGTGTTCGTACGACTTGACGCGGTCCGGCGACCTCTTCAGCCACCCTATAATGGGTCCTTTAAAGTCTTCCGCCGTGGCAACAAACAATTCACGAATAAGAGAAGCGGCCGTGAGGAGGTTGTGTCGTTAGACAGCGTCAAGCCAGCACACATGGACTCTGGCGATGCCGTGTTGTCTCCGCTAAGGAAATCATCGCCAGGACCCCCAGTTCCAGTTCCAGCCCAAGTACACGAGGTTCTCTTCTGGCTGATGCACAGCGGGCGGCTATCAAGAGCACCCACTCGCCTGCACCTGTAACTCTGTTGCAACTCACTCAGGAGGAGTGCTGTGGCGGCAGCCAAGCCAAGCCGCCAGGCAGTGCCACCTTCCGCTGTTTTCCGGAACCCCCAGAGAACCCGAATAAAACTAGTTGATGTTTGGGATCCACACTGCGCGATCGTGTCTGCTTCTCCCGCGTGTGCACGCGTACCAACACTACGTTTAAGTGCTCATAAACACGTCGTTATCACTGCCCTTGACTCTCGCCACGGAAACCGCCATCAGCATATTACTGTTTTGTATTTCCCACCGACATGCTAACGGGTGATGTCGAAGTACTGAAGCAATACAACGCAGTAATGTGCCTCAACTTCAAAAAATATTTTCTCGACTAAAACAAAAAGACTTCGATTAGTCTTTTTGCACGCAAAGTTATGCTTCTCAATCATATCCACTTTTTCGTTTACTTAATGGAATAATTGGCACTTGTTTGTCTCTCCTCTTGTGTCCCGTTGGTTTGCGCTTCCAATTATTTCATTATGAATTTGTACCAACTAGCCCACCTGTCAACCCTACTGCGATTTTCGTTTACTTTTTCTTGAACCACCTTAAGGTTGTATAGACGTCTCAACATGGGCCAATGTATTATTTTTTTGAAGTTGGGGATTTTATTTTTCAGAACTTACACACCGCACACAGACAAAAAAAAATTTAGAAGATTGTACATATTACTGGAAGTTTTACAAAAATCACTTCTGCCTTTAACCAATAACTGCTTTTCACAAAAAACACACCAAAAAAACGTTACAATTTACCAACTTTTACCTATAGGCCGAGCAGTAAAAAAAGTATTAGAAACTAGTATTAGAAACTAAAATAGTACTAGAAACTGTTCTACAATAAAAGCACAATACTTGGAAAACTACAAATCAAATATGGGGAAAATGGGCAATATGGTGAATTTGCAGCAAATTTTTTTTTTTACCTAGTTGTCCACCTTTTCGTGAAGTTCAAATGGCTCAAAATATTTTGGGAAAATACTTTAAAAGCAATGCCCATATGTGTGTAATTTTCTCTGATTTTTTTTTATAAACATTGATGTTTGGTGAGCGCCTCGGCTGGGACAACAGTCGGTGTGGAATGACAATAATAGTAATAATAATAATGATATCAATAATAATAATAATAATAGAAAAAATATCGCACCAATAATATTACACTCAATTTTTTTTGCTTGATTATGTCAATGAAGTTGAACTAAAAAGTGTCGCCACTGAAGCAGTGATTGGTTTGACCAATATACGACTGGCCACACGACAATAGATTTTCATAAATATTAGATACACATTCACTGTACTCATTCTTGTGGTTCAAGTGATCCTCATTCTAACAAAGGAGAAAAAGAAAAGTGGCCTCTTGTGAGTTGCTAGGCTTTGCAAGGTACATAGAGAAGTGAATGGCAAATGAGTCGCGTTCTGGTCAGGCACCACTAATATGAAATGATTTATTCTTTATCTATACTGTGTATAGGAGCCAAATTTTTGAAGAAACTAAAGACTAGTTATAGGTTAAATGGTTTCTCTGGTGCCACCATGCCCTCTGATGGAGACTGCTGAATCCACCGCCTTTAAAGACAGGATGAAATTTCATGATTTTTTCATTGTATCTGGTGCCTGGGTGTCCTGGCAGGCACTTTCCAGTCGAGTGGGGCCATATCAGGAAGTCGTTTGGCAATGCAGTGGTTGAATACGTTGTCATTTCAAGATGCACAGATGGGTAGCACCTGTTCAGGAGTTACCGGCCTTTTTTGCAGTGCCCACTGGCAGAAGAGTGAGACCGATTGGGTGCTACTTTAGCAATTAAAACGGAACACAGAACTGCCCCGCTGTTTTGCCCTGCCTGTGTCGTCGTCTTCATCATTTTCATCGTCAGGTGGCAACCACCTTCTTGGGGCTTCCACTTTTTTCATTTGTTCTCTGCAGGCATGGGTTCGTGAACAGCTGCTGAATAGCAGCCTGCTCATAAGTGCAACATAAGTGCAATGGCGTCATCATACTAGCTGCACCAGCTTAGAGATCAGCCACAGTGCGGACCTCTCGGAAGCTTCAAGTCTCCTAAGATAATGTGAAGGTTGTGGGATGGGTTGTACAGTGCAGGATCACTGACAAAATTTCAAAATTAGTGTAAGTTACCTTCCAAGCTATATTCACTGTTGTTATTTGGTAGACGGTGTATGCATGTTCACGCACATTAGAACACCAGATGGTCGAAATTTCTGGAGCCCTCCACTATGGCGTCTCATAATCACATTTTGGTTTTGAGACTCAAAATCCCAGATATTATCATGCAAGTTCACAGGAATCAATCTCGCAGTCTATCTTGGCACGAAATTTCAGATTGGTACTCCTTGAAACAGGATTTGTATACCTATACGAAATCAACATTTAGACACCACCGCTTTCAAGTCTTAAAACCCCAGAGAATAAGCAAGAGCATGTCATAACCTCTGCTTCATCTTTCAATCTGCAGTGACAAACACTAGCAACTTGTGTCTCTCGGTAACGCTCTCGCGAGTGCCTATGATGAAAACTTTTCTTGTGCAGGCACAATGTTGGCTGTGGACTCTGGCCTGGTATGGGCCCCTGATGAGCAGGAAGGCTTCAAGCTTGGACGAATTGTTGACATCGGTGGCGAAACGGTCACAGTCCTTCTTAATTGTGGCACTCAGGTGAGCATGTGCTCAAGTATGGGAATGCAGCACCCAATTTAAGCAAGACATTTAATAATATGTGTCTCGAAAAAGTGTGCCTAAGCATTTCTTTTTTTTTTCTGGTGGCCTTGATATCAGGGGTGTGTAAAAATAGCAAACTTTGAAACTGAATAGTGTACGCATCAATGATGACACTGAATTGTATGCTACCCTTGTAGTTTTTCGAATAGTTAGGCTATAATTTTTCAAAGCAGCCCTAGACTGGTGAGGTGACAATCTTGAAAATCCTGAAGAATCGCATAGCCTTTTTTTGAAACTACTTGATATTCACAAGGTTTATCAATGGATCATTTCAATGACATTTAATTTCACTGACAAAAAATACATTTATTTAAACTGAGCAGCAACTAAACATTCCGGAATAATTTGTAACTGCAGACTGACATATAGCAGTGCCTACAGTATTAAAGTACTTTATCAAGAGCTTTTAAATGAAACTGATAATTAAATATTATGCAATATTCATGAGTTACACAATGAATCTTATAGTGGATGGCTGACACACTTGCCTTAAGATGTAGTCGATAGTGCTGTAAATACATGCATTTGTTTGTGTAGTCCAATCATGACAACAAGAAAGGTTACCCCTCGCTATTCCCATGAGCAAGTTTTGTTGTTGCTGATTATTTGAAAACTCCTTAAAAATATTTTTGAATATGCTCTGTTTGATTCAAATTTTTGCACACTAGATATCCACATGTAGCAGGTCTCTTGCTTAACCCTTTCGCTGTCACTGGTGTTCATTTATGCATTGATAAATTCATGCCCATGTCCAAAACCCGCATATTGTTCTTGATTTTGTTGGTTGCAGCGTCTCAAATTCACCTAGATTTTATTTCAAATCTGTTTTTGCTCCTTGCTGTGTTGGTATGTGTATTGCCCACCCTACTTTGCTGGGAGGGCGTTGCCGCTCTGCGTGTGCTACTCGCACAGGGTGAGTGAGCATGCAGTTACTGACACAAGGGTTTTTCGGGAACACTCTCTAGTAGACCGAAAGATCTCTGCTTTTACCCGCTCACTGCAGCCTTGCTTAATGGCTCTCAGCTGCTAACGAGGTTGTTTCATTTCTATCTTGACTATGCCATTTACCTGCATTTGGAGCTTCCCTCATATTCCCGAAACCAGGGCACGTTGAAGCCAGAAACACTCGACAGTGGAAGCATAGAAAGACTTGGCAGTAGTTTCACACATTTGTTGCCTTGTATTTTCTAGGATTATATGTCAGTTGCCTGAAAACTAATGAGGATGAAGAGTTGCTGTACTGGTTTTAGATATACTGTTGTGGAGGGGGGGGGAGGGTGCTGTACAAGCACTATGGTTTCCTTTGTGTTTGTAATTTAGCCTTCCCAAACCTAATCAAATCAAGAAAACATACGAAAAGAAGCCTCCTTGTGAAGTTCCTGCATCACGGTGCTTATACCTCGTAGTGGAAAGTAGAGAAAGGAGGATGCTGCTACAGAGAATGACAAAAACCAACTGTTTTATTTCACGATTTGTGTGTGCCTCCTCGCGCCTTCATGGACTCCGCCCCGCAGGGGCGCCTGCGCAAGTAGGCGTTTGGTGTGTAGCGACACCACGGACCCGAGCTAACGGGGGAGTTTCTACTCCCTCCCACGCCTAGCCGTGCGTGGCTTTGCCGTGTCCGGGGAAAAGGGGATCCTGGGGGTTGAGCCGACGCTGGGTGATTGGACCGTTAAGGCCCCCCGGCAGAGGCAACACACCCCTTTGGCCCCGGCTCCACGTAGACGGCACCCCTGGGCTGACCCACCCAGGGGAAATCGGCAGTCGCCTTTTCCTATCTCTCTCTCCCTACATCTTCGTCTTTATCTCTTACTGTTTATCTGTCCTGTCTTTTACTCTCTTCCGTTTACTTCCAAACTTCCTGGCGGCTAGGGTTAACCCTGTGCAAATAGCCTACCTTGGTCTAGGCGCATTGGGTTATAGTGGCGTTGTACGGCTGGCGTCTGCAGGTTTCAGCATCTGTAAACCTGCAGCGTCCCCTCGTTGGGCTCCGTGGTGGGTGGCCGCCAACGCTACCGAACAACATACAATTAGCATGCACAAAGCATTCCCTTTACTAAGTGATCGTGCCTCCTCAAAGCGGGTACGCACCGAAGATATCAACTTTTTCATGCGGCCAAGACAAACCTTTCCTCGATTCCATGTTATACACTGTGAAAAAACTAACAAGCAAGCCAGAACAGTATCCCCCTTCGTAGTGGCTAGGTCCTTAACCGAAACTCTCGGTGCCGGGTACAAGGTTACCAAAATGGCCAGTGGAGATCTACTCCTTGAAATACATGAACAAAACCAATTCGATAAACTGAACACCCTCACAACGTTTGGAGACACACCCATCAGTATTACGCCACACAGGTCCATGAACTCATCTCGCGGGGTCGTATCAGACGTAGATTTGCTTGAGCTGACGGAAGCTGAACTTCTGGAAGGATGGAAGAGCCAGAACGTGACAAACGTACAGCGTATTAAGATCAGAAGAGATCAAAAGGAAATCCCAACCAAACACTTAGTACTGACCTTTGCTTCGAGCGATTTGCCGGAAACTATTCAGACTGGGTACACAAAGACATCCGTGAGACCATATATTCCCAACCCCCGCCGTTGCTTCCAATGCCAGAAATATGGCCATGGCTCCAAAACGTGTCGTGGTCGCCAGACTTGTGCACAATGTGGAGTTCTAGGCCACGTGTCTGAGAACTGCAAACAACCACCACACTGTGTAAACTGCGAAGGAAACCATGCCGCATATTCACGCTCCTGCACATACTGGAAAAAAGAAAAAGAAATAATTACGTTGAAGGTGAAGGAAAACATTACATTTAAGGAAGCACGGCGAAGAGTCGCTCCATTCTATGGAGCTACCTACGCTGATGCGGCGCGTCAGGGGGCACCGCCGCACCAGCCCTCGCCACTCCCTCGGCCCGCGCATACCGAGCCGGTGGTTGTGGCACCTGCCCCCAAGGCGGCTGTAGCCCAGGCTACACCGCCTACTCCCAAACAGAGACCGGAGACTCCAGAGTCCTCCAGTCTCAAGGCCTCACCTCTGCAGGTGAGGCCCGAAATTCGAACTAGCAGCCCGCACGTGCGGGCATCCAGTGCCTCCGAGGAGGCAATGGATACGTCGGCACCCTTGGTGCCGAAAGAGCGGCGTGGCTCCTTGGAGCGCGCCAAGAAAACAAAAAAGCCGATAACAGGGCCTGGTGACGGCCCTGTTAAGTGAAGTCAAACTCTGTCTAAACAGCCACTCGCTTTTCGTACACACAGCACTATTTTACATTCACCATGAACACTCAAATTATACAATGGAACGTCAGGGGCCTTTTCAGAAACCTTGACGACATCCAAGAACTCTTACACGAATACTCACCAAAAGTGCTGTGTGTACAAGAAACACACCTTAATTCAAAGCACACAAATTTTCTCCGTAAATACGTTATATTCCGAAAGGACCGTGTTGATGCTATGACATCATCCGGAGGTGTTGCCATCATTGTGAATCAAGGAATTGCATGCACACACTTACAACTCCAAACATCCCTTGAGGCAGTGGCTGTTCGAGCAGTTCTTTTTGATAAACTGATCACAATCTGCACTATCTACATTCCTCCTAGCTATCAGCTGCAAAAACGTGATTTACACTCTTTAATTGATGAACTTCCGGAGCCCTATGTTCTCCTTGGAGACTTTAATGCGCATAGCAGGCTATGGGGTGACTCTCGGTATGACGCGCGAGGTCGATTGATAGAAGAGTTCCTTCTCTCCTCAAGCGCGTGTCTTCTAAATCGAAAAGACTCAACGTATTATAATCTCGCCAATAACACCTACTCCTCCATAGACCTAAGCATAGTATCCCCATCTCTTGTGCCCCTACTCCAGTGGAAAGTCATCAGTAATCTGTACGGAAGTGACCACTTCCCCATAGTTTTGAGCACAAATACAGTAACTGAGTGTCCATCACGTGTTCCCAAGTGGCTCATAAACAGAGCCGACTGGGAACACTTTTATACCATCGCTCGTCTAGGTTGGAATGACATAAGTACTTTGAACATTGATGTTGCTGTCAACTACTTCACAGCATTTTTGATTGATGCTGCAACAAAATGCATCCCACAAACAAATGGACACCCTGGAAAACGGCGTGTGCCATGGTGGAACTCTGAATGCCGAAACGCGCGCAAACAGCAAAACAGAGCTTGGAGGCTGCTTCGGAACTCACCGACAGCCGAAAATCTTGACACCTTCAAGAAAATAAAGTCTCAAGGCAGGCGAACGCGTCGGCAGGCAAGAAGAGAAAGTTGGCAGAAGTTTTTGTCAGGGATCAATTCATACACACAGGAAGCTAAAGTCTGGAACATGGTCGGTAGGATAGCAGGAAAACAAGTACACACACTTCCACTCGTAAACACTCAGGGTGACACCTTGGAAGATCAGGCAAACTTCCTCGGTGCACACTTCGAACAGGTGTCCAGCTCATCCCACTATACTGACACTTTCCAAAAATACAGAACAAGAATAGAAAAGCAGAAACTCGAACACAAATGCACTGGATACGAGGCATATAATCAAGCGTTCAGTCTAGCTGAGCTCCGAACATCCCTAAACTCCTGCAGTACTTCTGCCCCAGGTTCTGACCGTGTCGTTTATGAAATGTTAAAAAACCTGCCGATCGAAACGCGAAAAACCTTACTTTGTTTGTACAATGCTATCTGGATTTCTGGCACTATCCCTAACTCCTGGAAAGAGGCTATTATAATTCCCGTTTTGAAAGAGGGCAAGGACCCTTCCTTACCTTCCAGTTATAGGCCTATTGCACTCACAAGCTGCTTGTGCAAAATCTTTGAAAAAATGATAAACTGCAGACTTGTACACTTTCTTGAAATAAACAATTTGCTCGATCCATTTCAGTGCGGGTTTCGAGAAAGTAGATCCACCACAGA